AATCGCTGCAGCAAATCCACAAAATTTTTGTAAAACGCGGTACTTTTATATTTTTTGGTTTATATAACATCGTGAAAGTGCCTCATTCAAAATGCCACAGGACTTGAAGAAACTTTCGCATTCATCAAGGAATTTGAAACTGAAGGGTTTGCCATAGCTGAACTGGTTGTTAAGGTATTTTTGAGCAATATCAATAACACTGATTCTTCACACAGATTGTTCGGACGGTCTTTTTTTTTTTAATATTGTACAAGTTGTTGTGTCAATACATTCCAGTGTAAAACACTGAGGCTCTGTTGTGCCTCATTTTAACTCTCTCAAAAAGGCAATTTTCTAAGAAGTGAGGCGCCTGTATCATTTTTACTGAGCCGAATGCCAGTTTTGCAAGTTATGTCATATTTTGGAATAATTAGAGCTGCTGGACTGCAGGTGCCGAGAAGCTGCGCGAAGATACGATGTTTCTGCGCTGCCAGTCGTATCGATAATAATTGTCTTTCACAACGAAGCTTGGAGTACACTGCTTCGGACGCTGCATTCCGTCATGAACCGAAGTCCTCTGCACTTGATAAAAGAAATTATCCTCATTGATGATCTCTCCGACAGAGGTTACTTTTGCTCAGCAGAAACCATATCTTCGAATGTAAAGGGATATTCTATGACTGCCTACGTCTTAAGCTTTATGCTATTCATTTTCGACGATTTATTATGTGTGTTGCTTGGCCTGCATAATATAGCAAGTTCACCAGAACCCATCTTAACTTCAGGATTTCGTACATATTTATGTTTACTTTTGTCTCAACTGAGCTACCCTTGGAATGCAATTGTGGTGCTGAAATAACGGCTTAGTGGCACAAAAACTTCTTAGCCCAACTGCTACTATTATTTTTAGCGAAAATTGTGTATGTGCGTTTTTTTTTTCAAATTGTTAGAGAGTATTAATATGGATAGTGAAAAATCTGACAAAATCCACGAATCGCTGTTTTCAAGGGTAACTCAGATGTGTGCTTGATTTCTCTACAAAGCTTTTGATTTCTTTTAGATTATTTCAGGATATTTGCAAAAGCCTCTTGACCTATACGTTAAGAGATTTCCTCTTTCTGTTCATCTTGTCCACTTACCAGAACGGTCCGGTCTGATTCGAGCGCGACTTCATGGTGCAAAAATGGCAAAAGGAAAGGTCTGTTTGGTTTCATTTTCGCAGTAAACGCACAGTCCAAATGCAAAATTTTCTGTCTGCTTAAATTACTCAAGCAAAAAGCGACGGAAAGACTTCGTTGAATTTGTCTGAAGCAGCAAAGTTATGGTAGAGAGTAAACATTTTATTTACTTTCATTTCGAAAATTTTATGGAATTTGTAAAATACCATGTCATTTAGGTTTTGTTGTTTTTGGATGCGCATGTTGAAGTGACCGAAGGATGGCTGGAGCCTTTATTGGACCGCGTAGCCTCCGACCGTAAACGAGTAGTTGCGCCGATAATTGATGTCATTTCGGACGAAAATTTTGAATACATTACTGCATCTGATACGACCTGGGGTGGTTTCAACTGGCATCTCAATTTCCGTTGGTTTCCGGTTTGTTTGTTATTTCTTCGCTGGGTTTGTCCTTTATCAGGCAACTTCTTAGTTATGGGCCCATTGTAATTACGTTGTTTATCTCCTTGTGCACGTTCGACGGTCAAAACTGCCTTGTATGCTATCCTCAGAGGAGAGAATCATCATCAATATCTTTGTCAACTCGCGGTTGTTGTTCCGCTATGGTACTTTACGCTACTGCTTTAGCTTTTGACATACTTCTTTTAAATCAATGTCACATTTCACCGTCCAATTAATGTTGCCTGTTCAGGTGCCAAAGCGGGAAATGGAGCGACGTAATCACGACCGTTCAGTGCCAATTCAGTATGTATTTTATGCTTTCCAATATCTTCTGTTAATTTGCACATGAAACCAAAATCGTTTGAATTTCCAAAAAAACTGGGACGAAATTCATTAACTTATATCTCTTTGTTAATTTAGTCTTGACATTTTGATCAACTGAAATTCCATTTTCACACTGCTTCTTCCAGTATCCGGGTTATAGCTTTTTTTGGCTGCTTCATTCTGAACCGTCTTATCTGGTACCCATTCTACTGGTAATCCTAGCTTGTCATTTTTTTTTTTTTGCATCATTCTGAAAGGACATATTAGTTCTGCCATGTTCTTTCGGGATTAAAACTCATCAAAAAAGGAGACAGTTGAGAAAGGCGAAATCTGCAACATATTTTGAGAAACGATTATCATACAGTATCAGGAAAAATTATTTCCTCAAGAAAATGAGACACATTTTTCCTGTTGGTAATGGCTTTATTGCTTGAAATTGCTAATCGTTTCTAGGACACCGACCATCGCTGGTGGATTGTTTGCAATCGACCGACAGTTCTTCTACGATATTGGTTCGTACGATGAAGGAATGCAAGTTTGGGGTGGCGAAAATTTAGAAATTTCATTCAGGGTAACTGAACTATTTGAAGCTCATGTAGTTGTTAAAATGCTGCCGTTTAACCCCGAAAAGTGTTGTTTTTTCTAACTTTAAGCAGTTATTTATCATATAAGTACCTAAGTTGGAGGGTTTGTCCATAGCTGTACAATTATTAATTAATATTTGATGCAGCAACTTATGTGCAGGTATGGATGTGTGGCGGAAGTTTGGAGATTCATCCTTGTTCTCGGGTCGGCCATGTGTTCCGCAAACAAACGCCTTACACGTTTCCTGGTGGCACAGCAAAAGTTATCCATCATAATGCTGCACGCACTGCCGAAGTTTGGATGGATGAATACAAGGATATATTTTATAACATGGTCCCTGGTACGTTCAT